AATTACCTAGACATAAATTACCATTTATCACTCTTATGCTTACATAACAAGTAAAAAGCAAAAATATAGTCAGAAATTCCTAAAAACTTTTAAAGCATATGGTTAGGAATTTGAAAATAAAGTTTAAGATCGTTAAAATAAAGTTTAAGATCTGTTATACTTTATTTTATCTGTAATGGCGAAGTGAATCTTCCTTGAATACTAAAAATGTGACATTTGAATGTTTATTGTCACAGGGATCTCCATCCACCAAGCGAAGAGGTCAGATGTTACAGCCAATCATAGAGGGAGAAACTGCACATTTTTTTGAAGAAATCAAGGTAATCCTTAAGAGAAATCATTCTGTTATCTTTTTCCTAAAGGAAAAGTTGAAACCATGGCATGTTTGATTTTCTGTTTGCATATATATATATTTAGGAAGAAGAAGAAGATGGTGTTTGTCTGTCCTCTGAGTTAAGTGATATCTTGAAAACTGCTGTACAGGCACAGTCGTCATTGGAAAACTCGGAATCTGATGTTGAAGAAAATCAGGAAAAACTGGCTCTAGATCTCCGATTGTCAAGTACTCGAGCAGCTTCTATGTATGTATGCTGGTTTGTGATTTTAGCCTATTTATGTAAGAAATACTCAAAAATTTATACACAAAGAAATTTTAGTGTTAAATAATTGAATACTTGGAGAGAATGAATACAGTGCTCAAGAAATACAATGATTTTAGAAAGTGTGCTTTACAAAATATGTTGTTATTCACATTTTCTGAATTGAAAATTAGTGTGTGATAAAAATTAAAAGAAGCTAAAGTCCTATATTTGCTGTATGACAGAGTGCTGGAACCTGCTGAGAGTTATCTGTTAGTTTATGCTCCATCAGCGTCTTTACTTGATGTGGCCTTGAATTCTAATACTTAGCCCTGACATCACTTTAGGATCATGTGGAATGTTGTTTTGTTTTGTTTTTGTTTTAAGTACTTATGCTGAGCCCTACAAGCAGCTATTCTGATTTAATTGCTCCAAGGTGAATCTTAGACATTGGCTATTCCAGAAACTTATCAGCTGAGTTGATTTTGCAGCCAGGGTTAGAAACACTGTTAAGAACATGATGAATTTAAAGTACCCTTTCAAATGTTTTCTTCCCATTTCAATTTTAGGCCCGAATTACTGGAACAACTTTGGAAAGCCAGAGCTGAAAAAAAGAAACTACGTAAAACATTACGGGACTTTGAAGAAGCATTTTATCAACAAAATGGAAGGTTTGTTTGCGCATCACAAAATTTAATTCTCTTTCTTCTTGTCACATGTCCTGCCCATATATTGAAATAAATAGATAAGAATAGAAATGTGCATTTAAGGATGCTAGCATTGAAAATAAAGATAAAAAGCCTTCTTTTATTCCTTGCAGCCCTGCTGTTAATGGAAAGAAAAAGCTAGAGCTGGAGTAAACAACATCTGACAAAATATATCAGTATTGTCCTAGAGAGATGTGGTTGAGTGGCAGTTATTTTAAGTTCCTTAATTCAGTATCTTTACCCTTTTGGAAGTGTTTGTGAATAAGATCTCCTTTTAGAAAGGGTCCCAAATGTGTGTGTTATTCTCAATTAGTTTGGATTCTTCTACTGAGACCATGGCTGCTTAGACTGTGTGTTGTCTCATTCTAGGACACACACTTCCAAGGTGTGTATTAGTGTGGCAGTCTTGTGGCTCCTATAATACAGTATGGCCAAGTGCCTTTATCTAACTGGGTAATGCACAGTTGACCCAGTGGGACTTTAAAAGTAAGGAAAATACATTCTAATTCAGACTGTGGCCAGAAGTGACAATTTATCTTAGCCCTCAGAAGAGTTTTTCCATGTTACCAGATGATCTTACTTACCAAGCCATTAACTCTACAGTAGTTCTCCTGCATCAATTTTGTGTCTGTTTCAGTTACACCATGATTAACTGTGGTCCAGAAATATTAAATGGAATGTTGTAGAAATGAACAATTCATAACGTGTAAATCGTGAACTGTTCTGAATAATGTGATGAAATCTTGTGCTGGCCCACCCAAGACGTGAATCATCCTTTTGTCCAGCATATCCTGCCCCTTAGTCACTCAGTATCCATCTCGTTTATCAGATTAGCCATCACAATATCTCAGTTCCTGTATTCAGTTAATCCTTATTTAACTTAATGTGTCTCAAAGCACAAGAGTAGATATGTTAGCAATTTGGATATGCCAAAGAGAAGCTATAGAGTACTTCAAGTGAAAAGAGGGGTGAAAAGAGGGAAAGAAAAAGAAAATTCTTAATCAGTCAAGGAAAAAAATAATCATATGCTGAGGTTGCTAAGAACTATAGTAAGAACAAATCTATCCATGAAATTGTGAAGAAGGAAAAAGAAATTTGTACTAATTTTGCTGTCACACCTCAGACTGTAAAAGTTATGGTCCAATGCATGATAAATGTTTAGTTATTAATATTATGAAAAAGGCATTAAATTTGTATAATAAGATGTTTGAGAGAGACCATGTTCGCATAACTTTTATTAGAGTGTATTGCTATAGTTATTCTGTTTTATTATTAGTTATTGTTAATCTCTTACTGTGTCTTAATTTATAAATTAAAGTTTATTATAAGTATGAATGTTAAGTATATATAGGATTTGGTTTCAGGCATCCACAGGGTTCTTGGAATATATACCCATGGATAAGAGGAAACTACTGTATTTGAGTCTTCTGTGTAGGGTGGCATGTATGGTTTAAAAAAAAAATCTCAAGTGCATTTTCCAAGTGCTTTCTAATTGTTTGTCTTATTGGGAAAAAAACCTTTGTTTATAATTAGGATAGTTCAATATTTTACCTGATTATTAAACTGAATTGCATTGTACCCCTAATATAAAGTGAGAAAGATGACTTTTTTTGCTACCAGTAAGATGTTTTGCATCTTAATTCACTGAAGCCAGAGTTAAGTAATATATGAAATGACTCACTGTAATTCTCTAGAACTTACGATACACTTACAGACCTGACAGAGTCTAGCAATGCATGTCTTATTAAAATATTTGATTATCTCTAATAACCTCCAGTCATCATTGATACTGATAATGTCCATTAATGTGTCAACACATTATATCCAAACACATTAATGGACATTATCAGTATCAATGATGATCAGAATTTGAAGTATTTTAGGAATATTCTGTTCAGTTGAAGGGAAATAGTCCAATAATCTTTTTTTCTTGCAGTTTTTTATTTGAGCTTATATTGGGTAATATTCTGTCTCACATTATGACAACTTCTGGGATTTTATTTTCCAGATGATCTCTAAGTTTTAATTTCTCCCCTAGGAATGCCCAGAAAGAGGATCGTGTTCCAGTGCTTGAGGAGTACAGGGAGTACAAGAAAATTAAAGCCAAGCTTAGGCTTCTTGAAGTTCTTATCAGCAAACAAGATTCTTCAAAATCCATATAAAATATGGTCCTTGACAACATCATAAAATCAGTTGTATTCCCTGAAGCTATCATCATGTGTACTTGGCTGGTAACTTAAGTTCATTCTGTCAGGCACTCAGAGTTGCATTTTATACTTGCTGGTGGTGCCACTAGAGAAATGATGGGAGGGTAAGTAGACCTTATCTAGGGAGTGCGATGTTCCATATTAACCACAGACTGTCCTCTCTACCTTTAGCAAACATCCACTTTTCTTCGTTTTGTACTGCAGATACATTGTGTTATTAAAAGACTAATATTTTATCTTTTCAACTTTAAGAACTTTGAAGATAGAAGCTTTTTGTTATTACCAACTTTATTATTTTGTTTCTCATTACTCAAGAAAATTGAGAGGAAAATCTTCACATTGAATTCTTCTTCGGTTGCCTTTTTCTTACAGAATGACTGAAAATTTGAAAGAAAAGCCTATAAATGTGCACATATGCAACTATGTTCTATGTTTTCTTAAAAAACCAAAATCAACTGAAATTTCAAGTCCTACAATGGAACCTATTTCTGTTAAATACCCAAAGTGACGCTTTTTCACCATAGTGTGTTAGCAAAAGTTTGCAGTTCAATGGTCACACAGCTCCTGGATGAAGATAACAATGGCTAGACCAAAAAGTGACCTTGCTTATTAGTGTAGTGAAAATACACACCACACATCACACACAGAACTGAATTATATCACATGCTGCCTTTGGGACTTAAGTTACTCTTTGTTTCCTCAGTTGCAGTTTATCAGTTGGTGATGATGTGATTTGTCTGGATTAGATCCTGCGTTTTTTCCCCCCTACCCACCTCCAGATAATGTGAGAAAATAGCCATGTCAGCATGTAGGAACTGATGGTGCTCAGATTTGTGTGTTCAATCAAATGGGCTTAAATTGGCAAAAGAATCATTATGCCTGGAGTGAATCTATTCTTAACAAGGGCTATACCACTGCATTTTTTCTTGTACCTTTGGTGGGGTGTATCTTTTTTTTTTTAATTAGCAAAATCCATAAAGAAAACATCCTCTAAAGGAATTTGCTCAGTCACATGCTATTTAAAGCACCTGGCTGTGTGATTATTGTGGTATGCCCCTTGTCATACATTCTAAGCATATCTTCTTTCCTTTGGGTTTGCATGGCTTTTCTTCAGGTTCTTTCCTGGTATAATTCTGCTAATTAATTTCACAGAATAGTGACTTTATTTGTGCTAACAGTGTAATAGTCATTAACAGCATATTCTGATCAGGCTTGATCTAAGTGTTAATTTTTTTCCTGGTGCTTTTTTGGATGGATGTGCCCATGTTTTGCATGCAGTGACTCATGCATGGTTTTCTTAACTAGCTAATATTCATAATTTGTTTCATACAAAAACGGACTTTTGCAACATCCTTTAATAAGGTGAGGGAAGCATGAACCTCAGACTTCTGGCATTATTACATAGCACATGAAGTAGCTTGATAATAAGTAGCATTTCTAGTACTTCACATTTCACCTGTGGGTGCAATGCCTTTTTTGGGGGGAGGGAATATTCCTTGGTAGTGAACACGTTGGGGAATAAAGCACTAAATCCAGCCCTTTTCATGTGGTTTCCTTTTGATACAGCTTGGTTATTCATAATGTACACCTAGAATCGTGAAATTGAAAACACCAAAAGATGTTATCACTTTGATTTTGAATTCATCATGCAGTGTGCATTTAGTTTATGTCTTTTAGTCTCCAGACAGGAGTATATTGAAACATCTTATTTAATGTGCACTGTGTATTGTTTTATATGAATGTTTTATTTTATATACCACATGCAAAAATGTCCATATGCACTATTTAAATGTTTTAAATAATATATTCCTTCTTTATAATGCTAAATCTATATTAGTACCATATTTTTATAAGTCATTGGCCAACTGGTTTCATTTTAGAATTAACAGCTGCTTCATGATGTTGGTTATTCACTGTTAATGTTTGGCTGTGAGTAGAATAGATAAAAAGTAGCCTAGCAGCATGCATGCTGTGTGACAGTATTGTGTGTCCTAGTTCAGCAGTAAGTGGTAGAATTAGGCAATTTGTGATAATTTTACTTTGGTACAAGTAAAAGCTGTATATCTATATACAAATAATATATAGATATATATGACTGTAAGTATCATTGCATTGCTGTGTCTGGCACTTCATTGTATAGACTTTTGTAATAAAAGAACTTTAATGTTCTAAGTCTCTGTAAATGTTCTTTGTTTTTTTCACTAGATGTTAAAAAAGAAAAATAGAAACCTCAAGTGTTCCCTTGCCTTAATGTTCTCAGGCTCTGTTTGAATTACTCCAACCAGAGACCATGCGGAGAGACTGCAGGGTTACTAAACCATGTGACTGGCTATAGCTCTAGGGAGTGGTAAGACAAAGAAGAACCATGTTGTTGATTCTCTTTGGAAATCTAGGGAGAAGATGCAGAGAGAATAGTCTTTGTTTCTTGTTACAGTCAGTTATCTTTTTAAGAAAATTAGAAATACAGTGTCCAAGAGAAGAGCTTGGTTTGAGGAAGGTGAGTATATTTAACAATTCCTTTATTTGAGTTTTACAGTCCAGGGACTGTTGAGCACAACGTGGGAGTCTATGGTCAAATAATGTTGCTTAGGTTAAGAGAACATGTGGCTCTTCTAGGAGGGCTTATGTAACCTCTATTAGAAAAGTTTCCTTGCAGTTTCCCAAATGCCAGCCATTCACAACTTCGTAACCATCCATACAGGGCTTTTGCAGCACCCTCATTTATCCTTTCCAAACATAACTTGTGTTTTTATAACCCTAAAGCTCCTGCTTTGCTCTTTTTTCTTTTTCAAGGATATTTTGCTTTATAAAGTAATTGAGGAAGCACTTTTGCAAAAGTGTTAACTTTAGAAACTGTCTAGATGAATTTATCATTTGAAGATATTAGTGAAATTTCTGTAGGTGGTTGGGAAGTTTGTTCTACACTTTGCCTTTTTCCAGGAGACTTCCAACTAGGAAGAATGGAGGTGAGATTATTTTACCTGGGGTCTTATATAATGGCTTTCTAGGATTCTAAACATTTATTGGTCCATGAAGTTAGAAACATGGTGTGTGATGAGAATACCAGCAGTTCTTATACTAACACTGTGAAAAGTATCTTTACTTACTTAACCATTTACTTAGAGACCTGCCCCAAGAACTAAAAGCAGTATTATTTTATACTTTGCATTTTCATTCCTAGAATTTAATAATAAATCTCATTATAAAAGTCTTTACCTGTACCTGTGTGTATGTATTGTGGAGGCATGTTGTAATATGCATGGGTTATATATTGTGTCCCATTCCTAGAAATAATTTGATGATTATCATTGACCCTGATGATAGTTTAATGGTAGCTGGTTTTGTGCTTTTAAAATGTACCTGAAATGGGGACAAATTTAGGAACTAACTCAGTTCAGGAATAAATTGTTAGAAATGCTCCATGATTGTATCACAGATTCTCACCTCCACTTTTTTTCAGTATTGTAGAGCTGAAACCTTCTTCATCACTCGGTTTAGTTTTAAACTGACATAGTGTAATTCTTTCTCCAGCTCCACAGCATATAAAAAGAGGCTAGAGGATAATTTAGAAGGAGAGAATGAGTCAGTAACATTTTTGTATGTAAGGGAACAGTAGGTTATTAGCGCCTATTGTGAAATACTTTGAGTGGGAGGATAGTGTTTTAAGCTCCCAAAACATGCCTAGCATGGCCAGTTACCAGATCTAATCTTTTAAAACTGTGTGGAGCACAGTATTTACTACGCATGTCAAGTATAAGTGGCATTTCCTGTTATCTAGAGATGTAAGGACAAAAGCAATTGGTCTTACTCTCACTTTCCATTTAAATAAACGGAGTCTTATACTTTCTATGTTACTTTAAAATTGGGTAAAAAAACTGGGAAAAAATGTGGCATCTTAACAGAATAAGATTCTGGGTTCAGGAAAATTGTGGGATGTCCCCAGTCCTCATATCATGATATTCCATAATACCCTGGTTAGAACAAATGCTTACTCTCGGAATTCTTGTTGAGTGACAGTCTGGTAGTCATCTTGAATTTCTGTAGAATAATACTTTTTCTCAAGCCTCTCTTTCCATTTTTTCATCTGCTCTGCACTTTGAATCTCCTGTAAAGTTAGAGGAAAAGCATATACTGCAACCTTTATATTTTTCTCTATTTTAGGCCTATGCACATAAGCATCACAGGGTTGAGAATCTTTAGCATTACTCTCTAGGGCTGTGATTTTTGAGCCGCTCTGGCTTTTTGCTCTGCCTGATTTTGAGGTGTATGCATAAGCAGAGTCACTAAGAGAACTTGGTGTTAAAACTGTTTAGCAGGTTAGGGGTTTTTAAAATTATGAATATTGGCTTATTCCCATTTCACTTCCTGGTGAAATATGCATCCTTTAAAAAACCCATATCAACCATCACTTTTCTATGAAGCTTTCCTTGACATTCATAGATAAATGATACATTTCCTCATGGAGCAGCAATTAGGTGGGGGCATTTGCACAAGTTCCTAGGTTCTAGTCACTCCACCTCTTCCCTATAGGTGGTAGCTGCTTCTTAGAGTTGTTTGTGGATTAATTTGGCATTCCACAGTGGTTCTTGGAGTCCTCTCATGCTCAGAAATGAATTCTGTGATGTAACCCGCCTTTTTGAACTACCTAACATGTTTCTGTTTTTCGGACTGGACCCTAACTGATGACTGGTTGGTAACTGAGAAGGTCCAAAGAAACAGACCCTTGTAGATAGTGTATCTCCACCAAGGGACACAGTTAACTTGAATTTGAGATCACCACCTGGTTATTTGGGATTCCTTAGGTTACTGAATGAGCAGGCAAAGAAGTGACGGAGGTGAGTCATTCAAGTTACCAAGGAGAAATTGGTGTTGCTACAAAATGGGCAGAGAGGGCTATGTTATGGAAGCCAGGGAATTCTTTGAGTAGTGCCTCTTAATGCTTCCATGTCTAAAAATAAACTCGTTTATTTTAAACATTGAGTTCTTAAGGAATTGTCATTCGAGCTGAAAAGATCTTAATGTTGTCCAGAGATGGCCACAGTTATTCTTGGTACTTTGCTTCTCCCCTTCTGGGGAAAAAATAAGAGTGCTTTCATTTGTATATAGGATAGTTCCATCTTATTAGATGGAAACTAGAAATATTGTCATTTTATGGAAGGTCACATGTGTACTAAATTGCCGAAGGGGTGAATTGGGCTGACCATTTATCTAATATCTCTCAACTGAAAATTTGCCTTCTTACACTCTTTCGCTCTTTTATACGCTTTGATGCTGGTTCTCAGGCTTTGCAAACTTCATTCCCCAGACTCACTTGCTACCAGATTTATTAGGTTTTGCCTTACTGGATGATGGCAGGGAGAAGGTTCTTGTTTTCTTTCTACCAGCATTGCTTCTGCAAGTGATCGTTATCTCCAGCAGTGTTTGGCTCCAGGCTGCAGTGGTCCAGCTTCTTTTGGCGTCCCCAGAAACAGATTCATCACACTCCCTAAGAAGTATCAGGAGCAGCAGAGGTGGGAGGGAGGTGACCCCAGAGGTCTGAGCAATAGCTCCAGGCCCCTTCTTAAGTGTCTTAGGTTCTGATAAACCCATTTTTTGTAACTTTAGCCCTGGGAGTGGTACTATCCTAACAGTTATTATTTATGAGTTGCTTCAGTGTTTTTACTGTTTCTATCTTCCAGTACCTGTGTAATCAATTCTCTGTAATTTTCTCTGAAATACATAGTATCATTTCCATTTTCCTGACTAGGTCCTCACTCATACATGTAGTATGTCATTTGGTCAAGTGTATTTTTGTTTTTAAGGAATGTTTTCAATTTTTCCTTATCTTGGTTTTAAATGTTTTAAAATTAATCTGTGGGCATTTTCTATTTTGTTGCTATTATAGATTCTTTTATTATAATATTTAATGAACTGGTTGATGTTTGCATATATGACATGATGACTGTATTTATGTAAATTATTTTTTCCTACTACTTAATCTTTTTGTCATAATTTTTCAGTTCATTGTATACCTGAAAAAGAGAATCATATCTCAAATAGAGATAGTTTTTACTTTTTCCTTTTCAATTCTTGTACTCCTTGCATATTTCTCCTGCTTAATTCTTTTGACTGATCCTTTTAATATATCTTTGTCTTGTCTTTGACATGTCCAGTTTTTCCCTGTTAGGTAAGGTGCTAGCTTTGGGGTGAGGTAAATTTGTTTTTATCATGTCAAGTTAGAGTTTGTTGATTCCTGTTTTGTTTTCCCCCTCAAAATTGATGTTGAATCTTACCAAATATCCAGCATCTATGGAAAATAATAATGTAATTTTCCTTTTTTGATTTATAAATAGAATTATGTTAATTAGTTGATTATATAGTTTTAAATCATTTTTACATTCTTAGAATAAACTATATTCTGAGTCATATTGTATTCTGTTGGATTCTGTTTTCTAATACTTTATCTAGGATTTTTGCTTTATAATACATGTGGTATTTTCTTTTTCTGTTTTGTTTGTTTTTTGAGGAATACAACCTTTACCAGTTCTTAGAATCACTATATATTTGCTTTATAAAAATAATTTGGAAGTTTTCAGTTTTCTCTTTGCTCTGGAACGATTCAAATAGCTTGAAATTATTTATTCCTTAAAAATTTGGTAAAATTCCCTTGTGAAACCATCTGGGCCTGAGTTACTTTAGAAGTAGTTCTTTGATGACTTTATTTCTTCCATAGAGTGGATTTAAAAGTCTCTTTTGGGCTCAGTTTTGATAAATATTATTTTCAATTTATTGAGGTTTTCTCTATGGCCCAAAATATCTGTTTTCTTGAGTGGATTTTTGAAAAACCAGGTATATCTTCTGAGAGTATGCAGGTTAGTACGTAACTGTACGATCACTTTATTCATTACATATGTATTTTTAAATCCTTTCATTTTTTTTTTCTTGATCTGTTCTCTACTTTTAGTGCATTCTTAAATGTTTTCCATTTTCTTAAGTCTAGTAGTTTTGATGGATTTGATGCCATATTATTTGGTGCATAGATAATCATGACTATTGAAGTTGACCTTAGCCTTATAAAGTGCCCTTTGTCTCATTTAGAACTTTTGGTTTAGAATTCTACCTTGATTTACATTAAGTTGTATCTGCTGATAATTTTGCTTGCCTTTTTACTGTGGCTTATACTTTTATACTTAACTTTTCTAAGTCACTTTGTTTTAGGTATATATTTTAGGCTATAACATAGAATTAGGTGTTACTCTGTGATTCAATCTGAAAACATTTTCTTTTAAAGTAAATTAAGCTTATTTGTCTTTACTGATATAGCAGATATATCTGGTCACAGTTATATGGTTTTAAGGTATATTTAAAGTCTTACCATGTGATATATCTTCAGTTTTGGTACTGCTTCCTTTTAGGAATGTATGTATTTTTGTTTTTGTGGTCATGTATCTTCATACATCCTAGGTCATCCCTTTCTTGTTTTGGTTCCCTCCACAAGAACCAAAGAAGTTCAACAAAAATTGGGTTGTAATTTCTTCCTCTTCATTTCTTTCCTCTCTACTCCCCAAGTATATTTAATCATATTACCATATTTTGTTTTATCTAAGAGATGGAGTCTGTTGTAAAACCCGTTACACCATTCTGTGTACTATTTAGGAAAAATATTGCTACCAGCTAAAATATGGCATGTTATCAATTATAAGGTACATTTTAATTTCAGAGATATTAAAATATGGAAAATGTGTTTTAAAATTAATAAAAATATCTTATTTATTACTATACTCTTAAATACGTAAAGCTTCTTTTTTGTTGTTAACTCTAAATGATAATTCTTCAGCATTTTAGCCATTACATATGAAATAAGTAGCTTTTTTTCTATGTTGTATCTTCTCCCTTTTTCTAAATATATCAATCATCTCTTGTTTGGCTGAAGATGATCTTCACGTAGAATCCTCAGGAATACAGTGGTATTCCCCAAGTTTTTACATTTCAAAACTGTTTGAGCCTTTCTACTTGAAGCACAGCTTTGCTGGATATAAAAAGCCTTGGCTTACATTTTCTTTCCTTGCATATATTGTAGGTGTTTTGTTGATTTATGGTGCTGAATGATGTGCTAATCTAATTTTCTTAGATTTCTAAGTAAATGTAAGTTTTACTTGGACAAGTCTCATGTTCATTTAGGTAATTTTTCCCAGGTACACAGTAGATGTCTTTTAAAAGTTTATATTGTCTTTTATTTCAGAAATGGCTTATTGAATTACAGCTTTGTTTTTTAAAAGAATCTCAAACTTACAGAAAAGTTTTAAGAAAAACACAAATACTTTTTATCCTTTGAAGTATTTAACATTGCCAACATGAACGCCTCATTGTCTCTGAATACTTCAGTGTGTATTTTCCTCATATAAGGACATTCTCCTTTATATGCAGAGTATAGTCATCAGAATCAGAAAATTAATAGTGATGGATAATTACCATCTAAATCCCCAGTTCCCCATTCAAATTCACCAGTTGTTCCAATGATGCCTGTTACAGTAAAAGGATCCAGTCCATGATTATGCACTGTATTTACCTAGTTTTTAATCTCAGTCTGGTGTAGATCCTCAGCTTTACCTTGACTTTCATGACCTTGATGCTTCTGAAGAATATAGGCCAGTATTTTGTACAAATGTCCCTCAGTTTCTTTTGTGTAGTGTTTTGTCATATTGTGCACCTCTGATGAAAACTTTGCAGAAGAGATTGTGTGTGCTCTCGGTGTTCTATCAGATGACATGTGATTTTAGTTTAGTTCTGGTACTGTTAGTGGTGCTGATTCCAGACTTCTCTACCCTAATGTTATTCCTTTTCTTTTGGTAGTAAGTGTTTTGTGGAGAGGTATGGAAATGTACTATTCTTCCTCAGACTTTTATTCATGTAAATATTTAGATCAGTGTGGACTCATGGAATCCTCTTTTATTCCATTTTAAATTAAAATTTTAAATTAAAATTCATTACAGTGCTTAAGTAGTCCCAGACTTGGCCAGTGGGAGCCCCATTAATGCTGACTTTTTGTGTCCTTTTATGAAATCTCCATCATTCTATGTGGAATATATAGTATGAAGCACCTATACTTTCCAGTCCTGGAATTAACTGTGCTTCCAAGGAGTACTGGTTCCTTTTGGAGGAGAATGGTATTTGGAAACCCAATGTCTGGACACTTGTGTCATTGCTACTAGGATGTCACTCTAGCTTCTCAATGTACAGAACTAGAAGATACATTCACACACAGACACACACTTCTGCATTTCTAATCCAATACAGCGTTCATTTTAACCTTCAACCTTTCCGTTTATGCAATTCCATTGTCTGATAATGAGAACCCTTACTCTAGCAGTATTACTTGTTTGCTTATTCTGATCTCTCAATCTTGCTGTTCTCTTTCTCAGTATATTGGAGAGTGGGAAGCTTCCAGAAGTAGAGCAGTGTTCTATTTTTTCACTTGGGTGGTAGTGGTATGTGAAGATTTGCTTAATAATTATTTAGTAAACATATGTGTTTAGTCATTTGTTGAATATATATGTTATGACTTCGAAATACAGGAAAAATCATTAAAGTGATTCATCACATTAATGATTATAAGAGAATGATTACATAATTATCTCAATAGAATATACTCATTAAACTGTGTGCTAATCCCACAGTGAAGCGCACAGCTATAGGATGAGGGTATCTGGCAAAGAGCACCAGTAGGAGAGAAGGAATATTTGGAATCCAAACAATTTGTCCTAAATAAAAAAGCATCTAGATCCTGGGAAAAATCTGGAGGTAGCAACTACTGCTCTGAAGAAGGGAAATCATTCAATTCTTAATAAGAACTTTTTCTAATAAAGCTATCACTTCTTTATGAGAAAATTAAAGTCTTACTTTTTCATCAAAACCTTCTCTTCTGGCTTTTTCAGCCAAATCTTTGTTTTCCATACTGAGAATATGAAATAAAAAACAGAGGCATATGATAGTAAAAAGGAAAATGACAGTATAAAATACTACCAGGTCTATATTAAGGATGAATTACATTTCTGTTCTTTCTGATAACACTAGTTATCTAGACAATGTTGTCATTAATAAGTTCTCTAGAGTATCATATCTCTAGCTGTAAAAACATGTTTATATTATGTCCCACTTCCAGAGATCTGTATTTGGGAAGCATTTTGACACCAAAATAATGCAATAAATATATTCTTAAATATTTTGTGTAAAAATCTCTTTACTTCAGTAGCTAAAAACATGTATTAGTGTGCATGTACTAAAATAATTTCTTAGTTTTTAAGAGGAAAATTACTTTCCTATTAAAGCTGTTAAATCCTGTTACTATCTGTTAAAGCTTTCTCTGAGTGGCATGGCGTGCCTTTTGTTAATTTTAAATTGTTTAGAGTTTCATGACACTCAGAAATTATGACGTGCTACTGGGTGTCTTGACAACTTATTTAGAATCAGCACATCAAATGGTTGTTGTTTTATAATCAAAACCTTACTCTCATTGTAAGTTTCTAATATAGAGCTTTAAAATGCTAAGTTAAAAATTGAAGAAAAGTGATCTTACCGTTCCTTGTCTTCATCTGTTTCAGGTTTTTTTAGTTTGAGTTTTTCGAGAGCATTGTTGTAACTCTGGGCATAATTTAAAATAGTTTAAAAGTTCATAAGAAATATATTCTGTATTTTTAATTTTTGACTAAGGTAAAGGAAAGAGGGAATGCTTGCCTTTAGGGGCTTGCTGCCCTAAGAAATGTAGAGGCAAATACCATGGTTATCCTTCTTTCACCTTGTCACTACTTACAGTTTCTGCCTCTGGTGAAAAAGTTGGCATCACACTTGAATTTGGGGGAAAATCTTTTAATAATATTATTGTTTATTGCATTGATGATATTAATACTTTAGTGCACATAACCAACATCATAGTCAAGAGATAAAAGATAAAAACCCCACAGTTAAGCTCACTGAAATGAAGTGAAGTGAAAGTCACTCAGTCATGTTTGACTCTTTGCCACCCCATGGACTATAGTCCATGGAATTCTCTAGGCCAGAATACTGGAGTGGGTAGCCTTTCCCTTTTCCAGGGGATCTTCCCTACCCAGGGATCGAACCCAGGTCTTCCACATTGCAGGTGGATTCTTTACCAGCTGAGCCACATGGGAATCTCATTGGGGAACATAATAGATTACTTTCACAGATAAGTTCTTGGACAGAGTTCTTCAGCCCCCCCAACCCCACAGCTAATAGGACTTTTTCTATGTGAAGTGCTATGGTTAGAGCTGAGGATATGCAGAGATAGACAGAATGGTATACACATGACTCTGCTACAATTCATAATACATGTTGAGAGGACAAGGAAGATTGCTCTCTGACAGGGAGAATAGAATGTCAGTGAGAGAGCAGAGGGAATATTCCTGCAGAGTCAGGGAATGACATGAGCAGCGGCCCAGAGGACACAATGAGAGCAAGCATGTGCTCAAAATATTAGCTGGCGCATGCAGTGCTGTAAGTGGAAGCATAGAAGGTAAAAATTGTATACTTAAATGATAATGAATAAAGATACATTGACACTTTGAGACTAGAGAAGGCTCTTGAATGTTTGAATAAAGAATTTGGACTTAATTTTGACAAGCCCAGGGAAACTTTGAAGAATTTTGAGCAAAGAAGTGACATGATCCAAACTGGGTTGGCAAGGAAAGAGGCTAGAACAGATAAGAAGATACTACCATACAGAAAATAGTGCTTTGCATTTAGTGCTCAATAACTTTTTGATATACTGAACTCTGAAATACTTCTTGGTCACATTTTGAAAGCCAGAGAACATTTCTCCTGGTAGTGAAACAGTACAAATATGAGTTACATTAGACCAAAGCAAAAACCCAAAACCTCTCCCTGCACTACCACTTGGGGTATAAACCAGACAAGACTGGCCTCAGAATTCTGATTAGGAGAAGAATTTGACATACATACCTTTTTAATCATTTTACCAAGTTGAAAATCTGGCCTTCTGCCTATTGAGTAGTCAGCTTTCACTTCAGAGTAGGTATCATTAATTATTGCCAAGAACATGTTCTGGGGAGAAATAGTCAAATGAAGTATTTCAGTAAAAATTTAGTTTAAAAGTTAATGGCTTTGACAAGTGCTGGGATTTGTAAAATTAGATTTAAATTTTAAAAGTAACTTATGTGCTCAGTAAGAGAGAAATGGCTATGCAGACTATATATAAAAAAATGTAGTGGAATGGGAAATATTTAGTGTGTGGATATGGGCAAGTATGTGTATGATAAATGGGAAAAGCAGAATGTAAAATAGTGCATATAAACTGGTTAATATATAGAAAATGTTAGATAGCAGAAGAAAACTTACAATAATATGTGTTCACGGGTTTTTGTTTTTTTTTTTTTTTTTTCAAATTCTGTTGAGTTGTTTAAACGCACAATTTTACTAGGGCTCTTAAAACTACCAGTGTCCAGATTAACACAAACAGAATTGTGGCTAGAGTATTCTTAATCTCAAGCCCACCTCTCCACATTTCACTGTGGCCCAGATCTGTTGCTTTGAGGACTCCTGCCCACCATCAGAGTATAACTGCTGTGCATGACCAAAAACAAAAAATATTTTCATGGAGGACAGTAGCAGTGCTTTGAGTAGAAAAGCAAGTTCCTTGATTAGGAAGGCCAAATAGGTTTGTCCTGAGCACATGTGAGAGACTCATAAATTCTGGGGACTCATAAAAATGACAAAGGTGTGAGCTTTCAGCCATAGGGCCAAAAGCTGTTGTGATGGGCAGAATGTGAATGACCTGATTCATACTTACTGGTGTGAAATATCCCAGACTGGAGAGACCTGGGATATTCAAGTTATATGTGTAAAAGATTTAGCAACTCTTGGCACACAGTAAACACTCAGATGGTAACTATTAGGGTCACATCCTCCATTGGACAACTTAAAATCACTTAGACTTGCTGGATTACTAGAAATCTACATCATTCTTAATAAATGTTAAGTGTTCTGACAACTAAGCAGTGATACTGTAATTTCTTCTCAATTAGTAATTATATTTTTTATTTTGAAAAATATAAGCAAAAAAAGGGACTATATTTGATCTTTCTTACCAGCAGGACAAAGAACACGAAAAAGACGAAAGTGATGAAGTAAATGGGTCCCAAGATACGATTGGCTTGCTGAATGCCAGCAAAATTAAAATCTCCAAGAACAATACGAAATTGCGTGAATCTTTTATGGGGATAAAGAAAAGCATTAGAAAATGTTATATCTCTTCATACATACATGACAACTAATGGTTACTAATGTGTCTAGGAAAAATACCTAACTGCATATGGTATGTGCTTTCTGGCTTTAGTTTTGTTAGCATAAAACTGGATGTAGAGAATTCCCCTGAAGGCAAGACTTAATGGCTGAACAGATAGTTTAGGAAATGATGGGCTTAATTAGTTTAGGAAATGATGGGCTTCAATTTATTTAACCAGTGTGAACCCAGTGTTCATCTCCAAGATTTGAACCTTGAGATTCCTGCTTACCAGCTTGTCTTGACAGTTATCTCCTTAGTAGCCATTCCGGTGCCCTTATAAAACTTAGGATACTTAGACCTTTCCAAAAAGTGACTTTCAACTTGGACATAGACCCGAGAACCCTACAACTTCTTTTATCAATGATATGCTTAATTTCTGCTTCTCTACTGAAGTAATAAGGATGCCAACAATTTATCACTTGTCAAGTCTCAAGCAAGTGCTGGTAATGATCCTCAAACATGAGTCTGAGTTTTGTTTTTATTTTCTCCAATAAATATAAAAACTTGGCTTTGATGTGAAATAGCATTGAAAATATAAAGCTTCATTTTATTAATTTTATAGATGGAAAAATTAAGAAATTAAGCTTTGAATGAGCATAGTAGTAGGAGAGGTAGAATTAGGATTTCATAACCTGAAGTCTTATTTTCTCATCATTGGTTTGCAGTGGTATTGCCAGACATACCAGAGATACATTAAAAATTATAAAAATGTAATATATGTATTAATATATATATATTTTAAGGGGAAACCTGGAAAGGAGTTTTTACTACTATGTAGACACTTCACTATCGTTTTTCCAGTAGTTATGTACAGATGTGAGAGTTGGACCATAAAGGCCAAAGGATTGATGCTTTCCAATTGTGGTAATGGAGAAGACTCTATACAGTCCCTTGGATTGCAAGGAGATCAAACCAGTCAATCCTAAAGGAAATCAACCCTGAATATTCATTGGAAGGACTGAAGCTGAAGCTCCAATACTTTGGCCATTCACTTCAGTCGTGTCCGACTCTGTGCGACCCCATAGACAGCAGCCCACCAGGCTCCCCGTCCCTGGGACCTGAGACCTGACTAAATCATATATAAAATATTTATCTAGTTTCTAATACTGGATTCAAATGCTTTTTACATAAGACAGAGAAATGCTGAATTAGGAGACCAAAGTTTCTCAGCAAATCAAACTTTTTTCTCTCTGGCATAGGAGAATATGAGGTTCTGTTTAAGTGTTTCTAATATGATTTTTTTATGCTTAGGTTGTATTTAAGAAATGATAAGTATTTGATACTTTTTCAAATGTCACTTTTTACACTATCCTGTTCTATAAAGATATTTTCTGACGTGTTTTATTTCTCTAAATACATTATTATTATTTGAAGTCTTTGAGTCTGTTTCTGTTGTCTATTGTATCTGTTAGTTCTTACTTAGGATTTTTTCCTCCTTCTATACGAGGTTATCTTTGACCATGAGCAGAAAATTATACTTGAAGGACTTGGGATGAAGATACCATTCTCCAGAGAGATTTGTATATGTGTCTGCAGGTGTATATGGACATTCTAGCTTGGGGCTATCTTAAACCAAGTTCAAGATAATGAGGTTCCCTGGATACCTAGGTGATTAAACCCCTACTTCAAGTCACTGAGGGATTTATTTTTAACTTGAGGCTGTAGCGCTTCAGATCCCTGCTTTATGTATGGTGAGGTTATCAGGCACTGCTCTTCTCCCCCTACCCCGCTTTCCAACACAGACACAAAGGCTCTGGGTTTCTCTTCTGTCTCCTCCTTGAGAAGTAACTAGGAACACAATTTCTTAACTGTTTCCTCTGGATCAGCAAAAATGCCTCCACGATGGAGATTTTGGGGAAGATGGAGTCAAGAGCACTAGGAATCTGTCTCACCACCTTGACAACAGTCTCACTGGCACAATCTGATATAACATTTGAAATGAACTCTAGAGTCTGTTGAAGGCTTGCAACAATTAGGAAAGGACTGTACAATTTGGGTGAATTTAAACTTTTAGTTTGACAGCAGCTACCCACCTCCTGGGCTTCCCAGGTGACTCAGTGGTAGAGAATCCATCTCCCAATGCAGGAGACTCTGGTTTGATCCCTGAGTTGGGAAGATAACCCTGGAGGAGGAATTGGCAACCCACTCTAGCATTCTTGCCAGGAAAATTTCATGGACAGAGGAGCCTGGTGGACTATAGTCCATGGGGTCATAAAGAGTTGGACACGAAAGTGAGTGAGTGAGCATGTGTGCATGTGCACACACACTTCCAATCCCTCAGCCCATGGAAGGTGGCCCTGTGTGTATTCCTGGAGCAGCTTGTGCATAGCTTGTGGGAGCCAGGGTGGGCAAGAAGGATTGGGTTGTCCAAACATCAGGCATCTGTGTTCTGATTGCTGCTGCTGATGACAGGCAGGTATCCTACTACATTGGTTGCAAGTCCCTCCCTCTCTGGCCGAAGCAGTGTCCTTGGGATTGAAAAGCCCAATGCCCTTTCCTCCATTTTTTCTTTCTTCCCTTTGGGAACCAGACATTAAAGACTAGGACACTAGAAAAACAAACAAACAAACAAACAACGCTGCATATGTGGAGGAAATTAGAAAATCACCATGCATACCCAAGGAATGGCACAGACTCAGACCTGAGAAGACCTTTAAGTTTACACCTCAGGCTGATCCTCAGCATGGAAACAGTTAACAATGAAAAACAACAACAGAAAACATAGCGGGCCCTGAGGAAGGGAAATTAGCTGATTTCTAAAATTATCACATTGTTACACTTAAATTTCTAGTTTTCAACAAAAAATGACAAGACATACTTAAAGAAAGGGGAGTGTGGCCTATTCAAAGGGAAAGAGTGAATCAACAGAAACTACCCCTGAGTAAGACCACATGGCAGATCTACTAGACCTAACCATTTTAAAGATGCTCAAAGAACTAAAAGAAGTTGGAGAAAGTCAAGAAAACTAAGTATGAACAAAATGGAAATATCAGGAAAAAGAAAACCTCAAACCAAAAACCAATTCTAGAGCTGCGAAGTACAATAACTGAAATGAAAATTCATTAGAGGAATTCAAAGGTAGATTTGCCGGTAGAAAAAAAAAAATTAGTGAATTTGAAGATAGAGCCATTGAAATTACTGAGTTTGAGGAACAGAAAGAGAAGAGTTTACAGAAAAAGTGAACAGAGCCTTAAGGGACTTATGAGACATCATCAAGTGGACCAACATATGCATAAGCATATGAAAAGATGCTCAGTATTGCTAATCAGTAGAGAAATGCAAATACAAAATACAATGAGATACCATACCTCACACCCATTAGGATGGCTACTATCAAAACAAAATAATTTTTTATAAGGCTGTGGAAAAATTGAAACATCTATGCACTGTTAGAAGAAATGTAAAATGCAGTGTCTACTGTGGACAACAGTATAGCAGGTCTCAGAAAATTCAAAATAGAATTACCATATGATCCAACAATTCTACTTCTGGGTATATACCCAAAAGAATTTGAAGTAGGATCTCAAAGCGATTTGTACACCATGTTTTCACAGTAGCATTATTCAGGAGATTGAAAATATGGAAGCAGCTCAAGTGTCACTGACAGATTAATGGATAAGCAATATGTGGTGTGTGTGTTACACACAGTGGAGTACTATTCAGCCTCAAAAAGGAAGGAAATTGTGACATTCTACAACATTGTTGATGATACGCCAAGTGGAATAAGTCAGAAATGGACACATACTGTATGATTCTATGAGAATTACCTAAAGTAATCAAAATCAGAGACAAAAAGTACAATGATGGTTGCAGGGGCTTGAGTAGGGGGAGAAAGGGAGAATTCCTGTTTAATATAAGTTTCAGTTTTGCAAGAAAGATTTCTGGAGATGAATGATGGTGATGATTGAACAATACAAATGTACTTCACTCTTAGAAATGGTTTTAAAAGTGGTTAAGATGGTAAATTTTATAACAGCTTAAAATCTTTTAAAAAACCTTCAGGGACGAATAGCTTTGGATGCTGGAGCTACTTCTCTGGGTTCTTGCTTTCTGATTTTGGACACTCATAAATTGTGAAGAGATTGATTTGAATAGCCTTGCACATCATTACCAAAAGCAGAAGTTCCCTCATTAATCCATTCCAAACTTTTCTTTCTGCTTAATTTGTGTCTTATACCTTCTTTCCTCCCATTATCCAGGGTGAGACACATTTCCAAGATTCTGTAGATTATTACATTCATATTTAATGTCCAATATTAATTAGTTTTATTACTTACACTTAAGATCCTAGGAAGGGACCAAGAAGTTGTTGAAACTGCAAACATTGACTCAGGGTAAACTAATTAGACTTCTCATTTGTAGTTGGAAGGGACCTCTGGAAATGATTTAGTTCAGCCCATTCATTTACAGATAAATTAAGATCTAGAAAAATTAAATAGCTAGTGGCAGAGGTAGAAAGTAGAATTCTATCCTCTTGTTTAGTAAAGGATTATTTCAGAAAAAATGTTATTTCAAACAGTGGTACTTCAGTTATTTACATGTGGATAATGAAATTTTTCCGACTAAGTCAGTTTAGTTGCTCAGACATGTCTGACTCTTTGTGATCCCATGGTCTGCACTAAAATTTACCCCCAACTGAGTAAAAGGACCATGGACATATTTGAGGAATTCTGAACTGAAGAAAGTAGTACAGTTTTTCTCAGAGCCATATGTTACCATGGACTACAAATTTCCAAGAGTGATGCAAAATTTCCTAAACTTTCTTAAATATGAAACTATTTCCCCCAGATAATCTTAGTCTAGATTGTACAGAACACATTTTTGAGACCTGATATTTTAGACCAGCAGACCCCAAAGTATTTGGCAACTGGGACGAGTTTCGTGGAAGACAATTCTTCCATGGACTGCAGAAGCAGGGATGGCTTCAAGATGATTTAAGCACATGACATTTATTGTACACTTTGTTTCTATTATTAATTACATCAGCGCCACCTCAGATCATCAGGCTTTAGATCCAGGAGGTTGAGGAACCCTGTTTTAGACAAGCATATATATATA